CAAATTTTTTAGACCCCACACCTATTTCCAGATCTTTAAAAAAAAAAAAAAAAATATATATATATATATATATATATATATATATATATATATATATATATATATATATATATATTACAAACATCAGAAAATATTAAAGAATGCCTCATATTTCAAGGTGCAAGAAACAGTTTTCCTCATTTATGGAGATGAAAGGCAGCCAAAACCTGAGTTTAATAATAACAAAAAGATTTAATTTGAGATTTACGTCCCAATAGAAAAATACAATTGCATAATAACTCAATATAATTAAACTCTAAGTAGATGTCAAAACTTAATGGCTGCCTACATCAAGCAGCAGATTTTTAAAAGGATCAATAAATCAGGTAAAGTCCCAGCACAGTCGTCTCTCTGCTGAAACAGTGTCTAAATATGGCAGCGTACATCTGCAGGCTGTGTGTCAATAACGCCTGCGAGAGCCTGCAGGCTGCAGACCAACTCTCACTTGTTTGACTTTGCACTTTGGAGAGCAGCTTATCTGTAAGCCCCCGCCATATTGCAGCATCGCATTTCCCCCAAGACCTCATAAACAGCTTGTCAAACTCCTACTTGTGAAATCAACGGCATATTGTGAAGACCAGGCTGAATGCACAAGACAAATATCTTAAACTAATCTTTAAAAAAAAACAAAACACTCTGCCATTGTTGCTAATGAGATTAAGCTCTGCTGTAAAGGAAGTTTTTTTTTTTTTTCTCCGCTAAGCATCTCTGGATTACTCAGAGAAAATGTGGAAACATCAGTGATGCGTCATGCGTGGACGTTTCCATAGGCACGTCGTTTGTGGTATAACCGATCGTCCACAAGCTGATATTAAATTGATGGTGTAAATTTAATTTCACAAGCCGCCATTGATTTATTCAATGGTACACTCTTACATATTAGCCCACATGAAACATATTAATGATTGGCAGAAATGATGGTCCGTGTGGCCCTCCTGTGGCATGCTGGGAAAGCTTGGTGGCCCTGGGA